CCCCAAAACCCCAAAACCCCGATTGATAGATATATCATAATTTAGAATGAGTAGAATAATAATATTTTTTCTTAAAAGGAGAAATTCTTTAATAGTACAGCTTATTCGGACTCTGATACCGCCGCTTATTCTTGATTACTCCTGATGGTAGCCAAACCTTATTACTCTTGACCCTGAAAGGTTGCAAGGGTTCCAGTTTAAACTCTTGCTAGTTATTCTGTTTTTAATCCTAGTATGAGATCGTTGAAAGATTTCTATTCGTATTAACGCTGGTATCAACATTAAAACTAGGCCGTTTGATTTTATCAAGGTAGACCCCGATTTGCTTCGGTGGCTAAGGACTTTTCATTACTTTTTCAATAGTAATTTTAGGAGCCCTTGCCTTAGTACTTTTCCTTCTATCAGTTCTAACTCTCTCAGGTAGGGGTTCTAAAGTAAGGTCGTTAATCAATACTGAGAGATTTTAAACTCTGTGATTAAGATCCTATTTTAATTGCTCTTTCTTTATGTTAAGGGATTGATTTCTGTTATGTCTGAACTAATTTCTGTTCTCTGTTTACTCAGGCAAATTGAATTCAACATAGGCAGTGCTATTCATTGATATGCGCTTGACATAATCAAACTCATGATACTTGAGTCTATTCGGCTCAACTCTGCCGTCAGGGTTTAAATATTTCCACATCGAGTTTGAGGAAACGAACGTTCTGTTGTTATTATCAATCTTTGGAAGATGGAATCCAGATTCACCACTGGCAGTTATATTCTGAGAAACCATGTTCTTTGTTTCTCTCATATCATGTTCCCTCATCAAAGCAGCATACTGCTCTTTGGTTTTGCCATCAAAGCCTCCAAGTTAATTGTTGACCAGTTCTTGCATATGCAAAAATGCAGATTCATCAGGTGGATCTTCTTTCTCAGCTTTCTTGAATTCCTTATTGATGAACATCTCATCCTCCTCTGAATTGTGATCATAGTAGCCAAGGTACTCCTTGATTTCTTGCTTGAAGTACTCTGGCATCTTTTTGTCTGGATTTTCCTTGATAAATTCATCGAACTATTAAATAGTCTCTATGTTCTCCTTGTAGATGTTTATGTCAAAGAAACCAACCTTTTTGAAACCGTCTGGGAAGATCATGATTCCAAGGCCCTGCTGAATCCCATTAATCCAGTATCCTTTGTAAATAGATCCGTCAATCCAAAACATCTCACCGTAGCCGTTTCTTTGATCATCGTGATAGTTGCCTTTGAACTTGTTGCCACTGACCCAGAAGAACTCTCCATACCCATTTTTCATATCTGCTTAGTACTCGCCTTCATACATGTTGTTAATTTTTTAACCTTCATCGATCTTCTTTTTCCATTTGCCCTTGCCATTCTTGAGGCCATCTTTAAACTCACCAGCATAAGAGTTTCCATTAGACCATCTATACTAGCCAAAACCATTAGGATTTCCATATCTGTATTAACCAATGTACTAATCACCATTTTTGAAGAAATCAGATCCGTTTCCATGTCTCAAGCAAGCTCTCCATTCTCCCTCATATCTGTCACCATTTTTCCATTGGTGTACACCATAGCCATCAGCCTTGCTCTGCTTCCACTGACCAATATATGAGTCTCCATCAGTGCCACGCCATATCCCGTAGCCCTCTTTGACACCTTCTCTCCATTCTCCATCATAGACTTCTCCGTGAGCCCATGTAAATACTCCCTTGCCATGAGCTTTGCCATCTACATAATCTCCTTGGTAAATGTTTTTATTTTAGAATTTTTCGTATCCTCTCCCATGTCTCTTATCATCATTCCAGTCTCCCTCGTAGACTCTCTTATTGTTGTAGAGCATTACCCCTTAGCCAGATCTTTTGCGTTCTTCCACCTCACCATAGTAAATCGAATCCTTGTACTTCTTGATTGCAAATGTTTGTCGTTATTTGAGATCATCGAAGTCAAATAAATTAGTCTCCATTTCATACTCAATATTTTTGGTCAACAATTCATTCAATGATGCTTAAATTTTAGAAGCCAAATTTATTCTAAATTTCTCTAAAGAAGTGTTAATGCTTACCCTTTTGAAGGATCTTCACTTTAACTCGGCTGATCCTAGCCATTGCTTATCGATTAATTCTGCATTTTAATAATTATAGTTTAAATTTAATTGACTCTAGTCTTTAAAAGATGATGATTTAATTAATACAGTTTGATTTATAACTCTTAATCCCAGGATTAAGCTAAATGCTTCAAAGATATATGAATCTTATCATTTTTAATTCATAGATAAAGCAATGGTATTTGATCTATTCTTAGATATTTAAATCAAACATATATCTTCTTAGTTAACAAGATGTATAGTAATAGGTATCAGTAAAGCTTTGAATATTTATGAGAAAACATAAGTTAATAAATCAATCTTAATCATTAATAATGGTGGCACCACAATTGCTTCAAGAACTCTTATATGGGTTAGCGCTGAGAATGCCTAGCAAGAATGAGCCTGAGACTACTGCAGCCAAGATGGTGAGCACTATGACTTACTTGAGCAACTTCTGCTTCTCTCTCTTGACCACTTCCTTGTATTCTGACTTGTCAACTCTATCGTTCTCCATTGCTTTACGAATTTGTATTGAAAATGTAAGTTTGTAAAATTAATTTAATAATTATATTAAATTTAATCGTATTTATATGCTTAGTGCAAGTTATAACCATAATGGAGCTGGTTCTCAAAACAGCACTCAGTTGCGGCCAGATCAGATTCCAGTCATAGTTCTCAGCATCACGAAACTAGAATATGAGAATGCTGGCAGTAGCAGAGACAATACTCAGGAACCACTTCTGTGCTATGTTTATTTGGGGGAGAAGATTTAAGATGTCAGAGGAGTTAGCAGAGATGAAACTAGAATAAAATTTGCTAATGCTTCCACTTCTAACTACATGGAGATATTACAAGATAAAATAATAACTATTCATTCCAAGTAAAGCAGCACAGTGACACTGGGATATTTGAGAATCCCAATAGGCTTAGTGATGAGCACCTATGATAAACAGATAAAGGGTTGGCTTCCACTCTTTCCAGAGAGAGATCACGATATATCATTGTTAGGGCATTACCTTGCACAAGAGATATCAAAACCGAGAATATATGTAGACTTAAGGCTGGCTTATGATAAACCTCAGAAGCAGATTATATTCTCCTCTCCTTCTGTAAATCCATTCAAAACTAGTCAGGGCTTTGGGAATCAACCACTAAGAAATACAGAGGGATACTCTCAAAGTCCTATTGAAAACTAAGATGATCTAAGCAGCAGTGCAACTTATGAGGAAATATCAGAGAACATAACATTAATCTAAGGAAGACCTTAGGAAGATCCATAAAGATTAACAGTCTAGTCAGCTAACAGTGGCCAGCAAATATTCAGGAAAAAGAAAAAGATGTACACTTAATCAGCTAATCCGAACATTTAGCTTGTTGCACCAACAGTAGCATCAACTGCCAACAAGCAATAACCAGCTGTTGAGACAAACTAGCCTCTGATCAAGGAAGAGTTACTAATATAGCTGCCTCCAGTAGTGGATAAAATAACTGTAAAGAGAGAATTAGTTACCCAAGTAGATGAAGTAGTCTAGCAGATATCTGACTTAAACACAGTCAACAGCAAGGAACTTACAAGTTGGTATACTAGAGTCAAGCAAATCTAGATAAATGATAATAAAGACTTGATTGTTAATGATCAAAGACAAGCTTAACTTAACTAGCTCTAGAGAGACACCATTGCCTTGTAAAACTTCAGAAAAGAACAAGAGAGCTACAAGTAGCAACTCGATACTTAGGTGAGACTTCTAGAGACTCATGGTCAGCATCAGATGAAAAAGGAAAAGTTAGATAGGTTGCAGGAGACGGTCTAGAAATTAAAAAATGAGATGAATTCTTTGTAAAATCTAAACTTAACGCAAGACCCAGCTACAGTAAGCTCAAATCTTAAGTCTGGCATAGCTGATTAGATCTAGAATTTGAAATAGGAACTGCTGTTTTTAGTGTCTTAGATCAAATAGGGTATAAAGATGAAGACTCTCTAGGATTAAATTTATGAAGAAGTGGACTAGCAGAAAGAGTTAATTGTGAATATTTAGCTCGAATAATCCACTAATATAGATAAGCTGCTTACTGATAAACTTCTCCAGTCTTAAGAGCAGCTAGGTCTAGAGAACAAGGTAGTTGGCTTTAAACAGGACCAAATACTTGTTCAGCATAGCGTTGATAGACAGCAAGTAGAGTTGAATTTCCTGCAAAAGTACATTTAGTCTGAGCAGCTTTAAATCAAGAATGTTGACTAGCAATACAGAGACTTGATAAAGAAGCATCAGTTGAAGTTGCAAGAGGATTAAATGAGAGTGGATCAAATCAAGTCAAAGATCGAGCATACTTAGCAAGAGTACACCCAGAACTAAGAATCCTTAATAAAGTAGAAGTAAGTTATGAATGAGCAGATTCTTGAGAGAATAAATGACAGCAAAGTATAAAACTCCATTGAGGTTCAAAAAATGCAGCAAGAAATTTAAGATTCAATCAGAGAGCTCTCACAGGCTTTGAATGACAAGCAAGAGGCTGTGAAAACTTTAAAGAATATACATACTCAGTTGAAGATCTAAGTGGAAAATGACACAATCACAGTAATGACTGGAGATAATAAGGATCTGAGAGAGAAAGTCTAAGACAAGAATGATGTGCTGCAGAGCAAGGATGATAAGCACACTGAGACTGAGAATTAGCTAGAGCAGTTTGAAAAAAATATTGAATTCCTAGAAAATAAGGAGCAGATTCATGTAATAACTCTTTCATCATTAATTGATAACATAGAATGAGTTCAAGAAAGGATATATGTTTTTAGAGTATCATTCAAACAATCTAGTTTAAGAGTAAAAGAACATCAAGAGACTCATTGAAGATTTGAAGAGATGGAGGGAGGAGTCATAGGAGAAGCTATAGATCTAGCAATAGGATTTTAACTCATTTGATGTAGAAATGAAGCAGTATGATGATTTTGAATTAATATCGTTTATAGATTCTTAGAGGAGATAGCAAGGCAGTTGGATTAAGAGGCAAATAAAATGGATCATCTATCAGGCATAAAATCTTAGTAAGAACTAGAAAGCCACATGAGAGAGAAGCTAGCTTAAATCAGAGAAATGGAAGCTACTCTCAGAGGAAAAGATCATGAGATAGACACACTTGAGATGATTCAGTCTCAAAAGGACTCTATTATCTTAGAACTTGAAGAGCAGGCTGGTAAATTCAAAGAAGTGATTAAGGAGGTGCACTATGAGTCATAGAAAAATGATAAAGTAGAGGCTGCTCTGTTTAGATATCTAGACTAGCATCCTACCAAGGTTGATATGAAAAAGCTAGGCGATGGATACTATAAATTTGGAAGTAGAAGAATATACCTAAAACTAGACAACGACTAGGTTACACTTCTAGTAAGAGTAGGGCCTAAGGAATATATCACTCTGGCTATGTTCATAATTGAAAATGAAGGTATCGAATTACAAAAGATGGGAATCGGAAAAGCATTATTGGGAAAGTTTCACAAATTTTGAAGAAGAACTTATTGTACTTAATTCTAAACTTATTAATGTTAAATTGTGCTGTAAATAAATTTATATATAATTGTGAGAGTATTAATAATTATCTTTAGGAGGGTTTAATTATGTTCATTGGTCATCTTCATCGAAAACCTCATCATACTCTTCTTCTTAGCCTTCTTTAGCCTTTTCTTCTTAAGGCACTTCTTCCTCTTCATCATCACCGTCATCAGCATCCATGGCCTGTTCAAGCTCTCTTTATTTCTAGGCAAACTCATCAGCTACTCTATCCATTTCCCTCTCCATGCGATCTTCTTCATCCTCTTCCTCGGCCTCTTCTTCTCCAGTACCAGAAACGATGGAATTCCTTTCCTCAAACTTGGTGTCATCCTTCAGAAAAGAGTCTTAAATTAATGAACTCTCATCTCCCTTCCTATTTGTATTCAGCTAACTTAACTCTTTTTGTGTTTATTATCTCTAAGTCTCTACCTATCGTAGTGTATTTTACTTTGATTGTCCAATGAAATCCTCTTCATACTAATCACTTAAGACGTCTTCTTTGACATGCCTGGACTCGTTAAGTTCTGATTTTTTCTATGATTTGACAGTTTACTGCTTAGTTAATGACTCCTTTTACTCTGGTTCTGGCTATGATTAGAACTAGGCCTCATCTTCAATTACATGCTCCCTTACCTCATCTACATCCTTAGGAACACTCTTAATTGATTTCTTAAGTGTAGAACTTGCTGAATCGTCCATTGGAATTGCATATCCATCATTTCTTCCAAGTGTTTACTCTGGCTAAACTTAGTCTTCATCAGATTATACTTAATCTTGAACTACTTCTACTATTTACTCAGTTGGTCTACTTTCATATGTTTTATTAGCCTCATTACCGCCAATGATATCATTTACTTTAGTTTTTGAAATCTTGACTGTGTTATTAAGAGAATTATAAGCATCACTCCTTGGTATAGGCTTAGCCTAATTGCTTATTAATGGAACAACAGGAGGTTTGTTTTATTTGAAATTCAAGGAATTATTCATATTGATTGTGTTGCTTTTGATAGTTGGATTTTTTATTGCCTCCAGTACTACTTTTGATGGCTTCTTTATTGCTGTTTACGAACCATTCGAGTTCTTTGAGTCTCTATATTCAGCCATTTCTGATCTAGCCTAATGCCTATTTTATCTGTTGCTAGTTGGGGTGATATTGCTGCTTTAATTCAGGTTCCTATTCAAATAGGGATACCTTGTTTGGCCTGTCTTGTTGTAATCTGTCTGAGTATTAGCTATATTAATCCCATCATTATCATCCTAATTTTAGATGTTATTGGCAGACATTCTTTGACTTTGAGATTCAATAGGGTTTAAGTGAAAATTCCTACCAGTCATATCAGTTAATGGACCTCCAGGACTGTTTTGTTTTGTCTACAAAAGAGGAAGAATGGTAGACCTTGCCTCCATGACCATCTTCTTTTTTTTCTCTATGATTTTCTCAACATTAAGAACCTTTTTCTGTTCTTTTAACTTCTTATATTTCTTGGTTTCTTAATAGTCTTGATGCATTTTCTTGGAAGACAGAGATGGATTTTAGTTGACAATGCGCTCCATAATTTTCTGATTCTCAGTATCAATCCTTTCAGCCTCCTTCTTTTTAACTTGATAATTAAGTGATTTTTATTAAGGCAATGTAAGTTGCAAGTTTTCCTACTTTACTTCGCACTATAATAAGAATGTTTAATAAAGGAATATGCTTTGAAGAAAATAGGGGATTGGTTGTAACTTACTCTTTTACCTTTCGAGATATCCAACAACTTCTCCAATAAGATCTAGTTACTTCTCTTGATCTCGTTGATTTTCTCTATATCATTGAATAAGTTACTAATGTTTTATACCAGTCTCTGTAAATTCATGAGATTTCAGCTTATTACTAATCATTTAAGATTTCAAATGCTCATAGGACTAATCAGCGTTAATCTTTTTTAAACGTTTTTTCTCCAAATCCTCTTTGATTTTAAACAGTTTTTTCTGATGAATCTCGTAATTCCTATTCAGATGCATTATTGAATTCTTGAATTAACTTACTGCACACGTTCGATAGTTTCATGAATGTTCTTGTCAACGTATCTATGATTGGTAAGAACTGGAGGTTTCTCTGACATTTTAGAAAGTTCAGTTTTCATCATCATTTAACTCATTTTTTTAATTTAATTTCTAATTTTCATTTTACTCGTTTCATTCTTTCACTTGGGGTTTTGGGGTTTTGGGGTTTTGGGG